TCGGTTGTTAATTCAGAGTTTTTAGAATTATTAAAAGATTCTTACGTGTCAATTTAGGGTTGGGTCTAACAAAAACTAACAAAAAAGGGAATTAGTCTCTTCTCTCGATCGATCTCTTCGACAAGAACAAGGAGATTTGTGTATTGAATTATTTAATCATTGTCGTCTTCTCCATTCTCGACAAAGCTTCTCGAGCAAGCGGCACCTTCGGCTCAGTTTCCTCCTCTTCAGGTTCTCTCTGATAATATTTGCTGTTGGTCTCTTTCGATTGAGGTTCTGTGCATTTTTTTTTTGAAGAGTTTGATTTCGTAATTGTGCAGGTGTTTCTTAGAGAAATTTGGATCAATTGGAATAGGAACCATTGCCTTATATTATCATCACTGTATGCGCGAGCTTAATGTTGGTCCATCATATTAACTTCTGAAGAGTATAATATCTGAAAGGTTTAAAAACCTGTGAACCATCGATCATGATTATTGGTATGTAAGTATACAATTAAACCTGTATTGTTTGAGAATTAGTTGGGCTTTATGATGCTAATGTTGTTGACCATCGTGAAATTTTGCCAACCTTCGATTGATGTTCTGAAGCGACTAGAATCTGAGTGATGAATGGTTTTTGCTTTTGTCAATAATATTTAAGTAGAGAGTCTAAGCACCATGAATTTGTCTTATTGCTATGAATTTTTATATAGTGGTTGCTGAATCATGGACACATGTAGAAAGGTTGTTAGTGAATCGAATTTATAGTGGATTTGTTGAATGAAGGTAGTAGACATGAAAGTCATGAGAGTTCTTTCAGTGATCATCCTGGTGATATGGATCAAGGTTATGATGTTGAATGCGAGTCTAGTGTGAATGAGGAGATCAACCACCATGTTTCTGATGTTGAAAATAGTCTGGCTCATGTTAGTCTTCATATAGGCAATGACTTTATAGAAGGGGTCGCTCTTGAAACTACGAGGTGAGTGTTAGTTGTGGTTGCCACTTTCGTGCCACTGAAGCAATTAGAATCGAGATAAATATTTGTCCAGATTGCAGGGAGGAACACAATTTCGTGGAAACAGATTTCCTTGGAACACCAAAAGCTTAAATATGGCGGCAAGGTGATACTTGGTGATGGTCCTGTACAAGTGATGTGTTGTTAGGTCCACAGTTTCAAAGCATTCTTTTAGTAATGTTAGTATATATCTTATAACATGGAGTTGCATCTTCCGGTGTATACTCATTTGATTTCAATATTTTTCCGAAGCAGATCACTTGGAAAAGAACATGGGCGAAGTTGCCTCTACGGCAAAAAATATAGTTGGTATACTCCTTCTTGTTTCAAGCTGTCTTCGTGCCGAGCCCTGAAGAACTCAACAAAATGGTAAGTCTTACTGTGTTACACATTTCTGCACTTGTGATTTAATGTGATTCGTTATAACTAGTGAATCTTGATTCTACGTATCTATCGATTGTAAATTGGATCGTTTCAGTTGAAAGAACTGGACAATGTGGATATGGTGACTTTGGTGATTCAAGAAATGAGCAAGGAGTTTCCATCTCTCATGGATACACTTGTGCATGAGCGAGACCAGTTAGTGTTCTCTAATCCCTCTCTATGTACCGTGTTAAACTTTGTTTATCATCTGAAAAATTAAAATAGAAATGTTGGTATTAGCGAAACCAATTTCAATCATAAATCACCATATATCCAGATTCAGTTAGCTTTTCACTAGTTGCAATGGATAAGAGCAACTTACCAAGACCTACGCAGGAAGGCAAATCTTCAAACACATCGGAGCTAATAATGAGGTTGACGTGCCGCCGGTTTGAGCCGCCACAAACTTGGCGAAAGAATTGGATAGTTCAAAATATAGATTTTGTATTTGTAAGAGACCCATTAAAGATTCTACCATGGCATTCGATGCAGCTCCTTCTCTAAGACATTTTTCATTTGTCCATCTCTAACCTTTGAAAGAGTAAAAAAAGAAAATATATTTCAAAGGTTCTTAAAACTGAGTGATAGAAAATCTATTACTAATAAAAGTTGATGCTAAATGCCTCTAAGGATGTCCACATAGGATTTAAAGATTCAATTATATTGGTACACATCATCATTATTTTTAGTTAATTATATAATGTATATTAAAACTAATTAATTCGTTTTAATTGTTATAAAGAAAATTTCTAAATTTTAATTAATTTTGTTTTTATTGTTATTAAGAAAGTTTCTAAATTTTAAGTTAGTTATTAATAAAAAAGAATTTTGAAAATAGATCTTATATTTCTATTAACAATAAAAAGGTAAATTAACATATAAATATATTATCAAAAAGAAAAATCATATATTTTGAACAAAAATATTAAAAACTATATTTAAAAACCATAATTAAATTATTTTAAAATTTTAATCACTACAAAGAATTAAAATCTGAACTGCTAAATTAAAATATATTAGTTGTGGTCCGTGTTGATGTCTTAGGCCAATGAGAGAGTCCACATATGACATATATACTCAATCTGATTAGTCTAGATCAACGTTTTTCATTAAACATAACAAATAAAAAATAATATTAATAATTTAATAAATTAAAACATACAAACATATAAAATTATCACAATAGAATGGAAAATTAAGATAATTTTTTTTAACTAAATAAAATAAATTTATGTTAAAAGTTTAAATCTATTCCGACAATAAAATGGAAACTCATTGTCATAAAAACTAAACTAACAAAAACAAATATGTAAATCAATAGCGAAAAAATTTAATTAAAAAAATTAGCATATATATTTTAAATGAGTAATTTATTTAGAATAAATATTAAGATTAAATTTTCATATAAACATATGAAATTGTTATTTATAAATATCACTACTACCAAAAAATATTCATCTTAACTTATCAAAAAGAAGTCATTTAAAACTTATAATTTTTCGGGAAATATTTAAAAAATTAGCACAAAAATCTTAAATAACCAAAAATGATACTTTATGCTAATTACTGAAGAAAGCAATATAAAAAATATTTAACTAACAAAAACCAAAACATAAATTATTTCTTACAACATGTCAATACAATTAAAATGAAAGTCCATATTGAGAAAGTTAAATTAACAAAAAAAGAGGATATTAACTCAATATCTATGTTATCTATTTAACAAAATCAATATAAACAGAATAAGTATAAAAATAAAAAAACTTAAATAATACTAAACACTTAACTAACAAAATAATATAAATATTAAAGCTAATTATTTAAGAAATCAATATTAAGAAATTAATTAACTAAAAAACTAAAACGAAAATTAAGTTTTACAAAATATTTTTTTCAAAAAAATACTTAAAATATATTGACTTGATATTTGACTAACTACTTAAAAAATTTATATAAAAAAATTTAACTAACAAAATATCTATTTTCTTAAAATATTTTTAAAAAATGGTGTGTTAAAATAAAATAAAAATCAATATCAACAGAGGTAAATTATCAAAATAAAAAGTCGTATAAAGTAAAATTAGCTTGATATTTAGGCTAACTACCAAACAAATATTAACTAAAAAAACAAATGATGATATTTGCTTTAAGAGAAGTTTACTTAAAATTTAGAATAACCAGTTATAGCATGTCAAAATAACATTTTAATTAATTTTAAAAGTAAATTTAACAAAGAACAAGCATTTATGTAAAAGACATTAGATTAATATATATGCTACCTATTTGAAAAATCAGTAACAAAAAAGATTAATGAAAAATATATATGTTGTAAGTATATCAAACCTGCAGAAAATTAGATAATTAAAATAAAATATAAAATTACCATCAAAGATATTTAAAATAACAAAAACAAGATCTAAGAAGCAAATTATTTTGAAATATAGTTCCAAAAACATTCATGATTTCTAAAATATTGGTGTCGACTATTGATAATCATATAAAGTTTTAATAGGTAATACAAGTTTCTAAATCAAACGTATTATTTAAATTTATAAAGATTAATACATTGGTTGCGTCTGGTTGAAAAATTAACAAAGTAAAATACTACACAAGTAACTTTACATTCAAAATATAATAAGTAATAAAGTCTGATTTGTATACATATTTACTTCTTATAACTTAGTCAACATGAACAACACATGAGCAAGATCCTCTAAAATTTAATTTAAATAATATGTTATGACAAAGTTATAAATCAAATTCAAATGTGAATATATGAAGATAAAATATTCAAATCAAAACATGAATAAACACACAAAAGATATAAAAAAAAAAAACGGTGATAATGTGATGTCTCAACATCATCTTACATGTTTAAAAACAGATATTAGCAAATAATTAGGTTGCAAATAAAACAGATCTTAATTAACTGAATAGAGATATAACTTAAAATTCTTAGAAGATCTGGTGGAGAATCAAAAATCAGTTTTACACGATTAGTGTAGCTTACTAACAAAAGTAAATCTGAATCAACATATATCATATTATATATGTATATGTACATAACATTAGTGAGGCATTTAACTTAGTAAAAAAACTAAATATTTAAACATATAAACCTTTTAAAAAAAGAACCATAGAAATCCTAAGGATACAAAATAAAACACCAAAAATTTAGTAAGGAAATCATTTTCTAAATCAAACATATGCACATCGAAGTTGGATAATTTGTTAGGTGTCATTACTATGATTTTACTTAATAAGATTTATAATTTTATAAACAAAAATAGGAAATACTACATATTATATTTTAATTTTTTATATAAAAGAAAATTTCTATAAATATATTATACTTTTGATAATTTAAAAGATATTAGACAAAAAACTAAATCAAATTATTAATACAGACTTATGCGTAGCGCGAATTAAAAGTTTAATTTATATTAAAAAAGTAGTTAAAAAATCCGTTAAGAGGTTTACCAATGGAGATGGTCTTACGCACCTATTCGAAAGCTAATGGGCTTTTGGGGCCCACTATAAAAGTTTTGGCTAATTTTCTTTTTTCTTCTTTCTAAAAGACAGCAAACACATGTTCAAATTCCCAACGGTCGGATCCAATATTCGGACATTTCAAAAGCTCTTATTTTCCACCTTCTCTCTCACTAAAACGCTCTAATCTCACTCTCTCTACACTCACACTCTCTCTTCTTCTCTCTCTCTCTCCTCGAAAATCATGAAGTCTCCGGCGAAGATAAGCGAGAACAGGTTCTTAGGAAGTCTTACAAGTTCTTCGATCAGAAATTTGCTTCCCAGATCCATCTCCGCGAAGCAGAAACCAATCCAAAATCCAGAAACTAAGATTCCCAGATCCAACGACGAGAACGCGATTCCTGCAATTGCATATTCAAACATACAGGACGATGATCATCACAGTGCTCTTCAGTTCACGAAGCAATCTTCGCAGAAACTGTTCCCCTCTGCGACCCAGATTCCGCGATCTGACACCAAGGATGGTGACATTGTAGCAAATTTCGGAGAGCCGATCGAGGTAGTTCGAGAACTAAAAACTTTCTAAATTAGTTAGATTTCTCTTTGATGCCTTTTCGATTCTACATTGCTGCTTCGTAGTTGCTTGAGCATGATTGATCTGTGCGACTAGTTTTTGTTTATTACTATTTAAGGAGAGAGATCCTTTGGAACTTGTAACAGGAAAAGAAAACGGGACCAAACACTTTTTCGCAAGACAAGCAAACTCTTGCGGATTCACCATTGAAGGTAAACATTTGTTGTCCATATAGTGAATCGTCCTTTAAAGTTATGTTTTAATCTCTGATTTTATGTCAAAATTGGGATTAGGTTGAAACCAGGAGTATACTGTCTCGAAGAACCTACTCAGTGCCTAGTGAAATCACAGAGGAAGATGACCCACTGGGTGATCAGATTCGAGAACTAAAGGTCTTTTGTCTGTTTAGTGTCACATATCTGCAAGTATCATCTATTGCACATTTGATGTGAGTTTGTATGTACTGACATTGCGGTATTTTGGTTACAGGACGAACTCATTAGAACAAAATCTGATGGGTACAAACCTGATAAAAGTAAGAGTGGCTACTTTGCGCGTGACAGTTTGAGCCAACTGAGAGTCAGCATCAACAAATCTTTACTCATGTCGTGCCCGAGAAAAGATGAATCCGAAGAGCAAGAGATGAATGCGGATCGTGATGATGATGTGCTGGAACTGAATAAACATATCGAGAAGTTTCATGGCTCTTACGACTCTCTTCACTCCTCATTTGCAAGTGTTTCATGCTGTGAAGCAGACTCGATGAGTGAGGACGATATCTGCTCAGAAGACTTGGAGAAACCGAAGCATGGAAACCATCAAGATTTTGACTTTGAAGATGATGATCCAAGCCATCTCGTCAATGTTGGATTCGAAAATGCGGCTAGTGTCTTCTCAGTCAGTTCAAAGCTTCCTTCATGCATACTAGAAGAGCCAGTTTTCTCGGAATCTCCAAAAATTAAGAATTTACAAAAGAGCGTGGCTGCGTCGACAAAGTTTCTATCAAGTCCTAGGAATGTGTCTGGTAGCTCCAACATGAAAGTCGATCAAGTTAGCCCTTCTCTGTCAAAGAAGCTTTCAGGTCCTACAGATTCTCTAGCCGCCAGTCTTCAGAGAGGACTGCAAGTTATAGACTATCATCAACGGAGCTCACTATCAAAAAGTTCCTCTGTTTCCTTCTCTTTTGGCCATCTTGCACTGAAACCTTGCGCAGAAGCTGATAACCTTGATGCTTCAGTTCAATCGTTAAGGAAAGATAAACCTTCAGAAGGTGGACTGTCGTCGATTCTCCTATGCCTTTCATGCAGAAAGAAAGTTGACCAGGAAGCTGAAGTATGTCTAACAAAACCGGGATTTTTTACTACATTCACTATAACTCTAGTCTTGGCAATTCTATTTTGCAATTTATCTCACAATCTGTTCTTCTATACCAGGCTACGGAAGAGGCTTGTTCGAACGACAAACATCTCAAGAACATGTGCATGGAGCAAGCAACCAAAATCGAGGAGCTAACACGCCTGGTAAAAGATCTTGTACACTTATGACAAAGTTTGTGTTCGAAAATTAGTTTTATAGTTGCTTTTTATTGATGCCAAGAATGGCAATCGAAATTAAATATACTGTGTTATGGCCCTTGTTGCAGCTTAGGAAATCTGGTGACGGAGAAGATGGAACAGAGGTCATCAAAGAAACATATGAGACAAAACAAGTTAGCGAAGAGTCTGGAAAGAAAAGCTTTGATGTAAGCGAAAAGGAAGCTCTTCTAAAGGAGATTGCAGAGCTAAAGAGCAAGCTGCAGCCTACTAAGTCTGCAGAGAATCTGAGATCCTCCTTGCCGCTACGATCCATTCAAATGCGCAAAAGCATTGATGTTACTAAGAACGCTGAGAACAGTGAAATCCTAGAGAAAGAAAGGGAGATGTGGACAGAAATGGAGAGTGAGTGGATCTCTTTAACAGATGATCTCAGGATGGATATCGACAACCATCGCAGGCGCGCAGAGAATCTAGAGATTGAGCTCAATCAAGAGAAGTTGGCCACAGAGGAGTTGAATGACGCGCTGACTCGAGCTGTGCTTGGCCACAGCAGATTCATAGAGCAGTACACAGAGCTGCAGGAGAAGTACAATGAACTAGGGGAGAAGCACTGTGTGATGATGGCTGGAATAACAGATGTGAAGAAGGCAGCATCCAAGGCCGCAATGAACGGTCGCCATGGAAAGCGTTTTGCCAAAGCCTTTTCAGCTGAACTTTCTGCTATCAGAGCCGAGAAGGAGAAAGAGAGAGAGCTATTGAAGAAGGAGAATAAGAGCTTAAGAACTCAGCTGCGAGATACAGCTGAAGCCGTCCAAGCTGCTGGTGAACTACTCGTCAGACTTAGAGAATCTGAACAAGCCTTACAAGTCACTGAGGTAAGACAAGAACCTCTATTTGTGGTCATTTGAAAACTTGGTTTTTATGAAATGGCTCAAACTTGAATTGGAACGATCATTGCAGGAACGATTCAGCGAGGTGGAAGAAGAGAAAGAGAGGCTGAAGAAGCAAATGGAACAGCTAAAGAGCAAACACAAGACAGAAATAGGGACAATGAAGCAATACTTAGCAGAGAGTAAATTACCAGGATCAGCATTGTTGCAGCCATGGTACAAGGATGAGCAGGACGAAGAAGAACAAATATCATCAGACCATGGAACCGGAGCTGTCAGTTTTGATGACTATGAGGATGATCAGGCTTGGAGAGCAGAGTTCGGAGCCGCATATCAAGACCACCATTACTGATTGTTTCAGACAAAAAGACCCTTCTCGGGTCATTTACTAGCACTGTGATATCCTAAACTCTTACTTGTGTCCTGTTTTTATCTTGTTGTTCTCTTAAATCTGCAATTTGTTAAACAATAACAAAGATTTGTAACAGTTGGAGGAGACATTCTTCTCATGTATTGATTCATCTTTGTCTTTGCTTTTGGGTCTTAATATAAAAGATTAGTGCGTCTAGTATAAAACATTCACATTTACAAATGAAGCAAACGGATCCATTTGTTACTCCGTTAGTGGGCTATTACTGGATCTTTATATAAGCGAGCCCAATTCTCAAAAGCTCAAAAGAAAAACGCCGTCGTTTACTGTGCAGGCAAATCAACTAGCGAGCGTCGTCGTCTTCTGGGGGAAAAAATATCTATATCTTTACACTCTATCAAACTGGGAAAAAGGATTTTTCCAGATTAGGTAGAGACCGAAAAGTACCTTCGGGCTTCGAGTTCTTAGCTATGGCGGCCGACGATTCTTCAAATGCTATAAACATGGACGGGAATCTCGACCCCAAAGCGAACCTTCACTCTGACGGTGACGATGCGACCAATAATGATTCCTCAAAGGCATTGGCTATCCCTGCTCCCGCCGTTTGTTTTTTCCGGTTCGCCGGAGATGCAGCTGGTGGCGCCGTCATGGGCTCTATCTTCGGATATGGTTCGGTTCTTCTTTCTTCTATGCCTGGTTTTATCTGCTGTTGCTTTATTCGGTTGTGGGAATCCCTAGTTTTATCTGAGAGTGAACTGAGATTTATTGGAAAAAAATAGAGTTTTTACACTTTCATTTCATATATTTGATTTCAGAACATGTTTCTTGGATTAAGGATTGAGTAATTATAGGTGTTATAGAAGACTAACCCTAAGAGTTATTGTTTTGCTGCTGGAAAGCTGTAGAAGAGAGTTAGATTAGTTTTTCGTTAGAGTGTCAATGTGATAAGATTGTCCTGCTGCAACTTTTGATTGAGATAATTGAACTGTTAAGCATTCTCTCACTATATAAGTTCGGGTTCAGGTTCAGGATTGTTCAAGAAGAAAGGCTTTAAAGGATCATTTGCGGATGCAGGGCAATCTGCAAAGGTACTTCATCTTAATCTTATTAACGGAACTGTATCAAGATCTTGCATATATGCTTATTGTTCCAGGAAATTGAGTGATATAAAATTTCTTGTGTAAGACTTTCGCTGTTTTATCTGGAATACACACTTTGGTTGTTTGCCTTCTGAAGCAACTGCGTGGCAAAGATGACGGTGAGACTCTTTTTTTTTGTCAGTATGATTGATTACACATGCCTAGTTTTACAGCAACTTGTAATGTCTCTCTTACTTATAAACTCATTTGTTGTTATTTTGCAGCCATTAATGTTGGAGTTGCTGGGTGCTGCACCGGTCTTGCTCTTAGTTTCCCTGGTAATCCAAACCAATTATGCTCATTGTGTTTTCTACTTTGTTGGGTATCATTAAGAGACAGTTACTAATTTTCAGAATCATACAAGTATTTCGACCTGATGTAAACCGAGCCTCCTATATGGTCTGTGTTGCAGGTGCTCCACAGGCTATGCTACAGAGTTGTCTAACTTTTGGGGCTTTCTCTTTTATCCTTGAGGGACTCAACAAGAGACAAACAGCTTTGGCTCACTCGGTCTCCTTGAGGCACCAAACCGGAAACATTCAAGATCATCATCGTCCTTTGCCACTCTCTCTTGCTCTCCCGATCCATGAAGAAATCAAAGGAGCCTTCTCTTCTTTCTGCAAGTCCTTAGCTAAACCCAAGAAGATTTAATTTTCCCTGATTCTCCTTTTCTTGTGCCTTAGGCTCTCTCTGTAGATGTTTAATTTTCACGCTTTTGCTGTACTTTGCGAGAGAGGTTTTATGACAAGGCTTTTTGCACGAGACAATTTGAAGAAGATGAAAAAGATTTGTGTACCTTTTGCTCTGTTAATCCGATCTTCTTCTTAGAATTTTTACTACTTTTATAAGAACGCAACACAACAAACAAACAAAAATACTCAAAGCGAAATGTAAACTAAAGAAGTGCTTGTGTTCTGTTTAGGGAGATTTATCATAATCTGATGAACCTGAAAATCACTTGCCTTGTTTCTGCCTGAGACGTTCTTTGACAAAATCATTCCGGGCTTTAGTGCGAGCTTGCTGAGGAGCAACGTTGATATACGACAGATGCATTCCAATGGCGAATAGAGCTGCCCCTGAGGCGAAAAACGCTACTGTCATCGCCACTCTTTTGGGTGATGATGGATAGCAAAACGACATCCTCAATGCTAAGCCTGATGGAATCAAACTCTTGCTTTGCTACAATATTCAAGCTTTCTGTGTTGGTCAATATAATATGAATAGGATGAAAATGATCGTGAAAATAACATTCAACCAATTAACCAAACTAGAAAAGAGAAACTAGACACAACGGTGAAAGCGGATAAACTTTCTCTGAGACATTTCATCGAACAGTCTGTACGCACACGAATTCAATACCAAAAATTGCATGCTTCTTGAAACAATCCAGAGGTTGCGATGTTGTATAAATTCTAGAATCGAAAGGGAAGTAAATTGATACCTGTTTCTAGTTTTTTACCATTCGAGGGAAAGCCTTGAGCGAGCTTCAGTCACACACAATACGAGGATTGGAAAATTTTGACACAGCAATGATCTCTCATGTTTGAAGAATTAATTGGGAAAAACTGTATTAAAATAAATTGAATGAACATACCACTGTAAACATAACGGGGATGTAGCTCAGATGGTAGAGCGCTCGCTTAGCATGCGAGAGGTACGGGGATCGATACCCCGCATCTCCATTAGAACTTTTTTTTTTAACATTTTAATGAACATCTCTCTCTTTCAGGGCCCATTGGGCTCCACATAAGGCCTACTAAAGATATTAGATTAAATGTTTTAGCTGTGTTTTGTTTAGTCCCCGTCTCCAGACTTCTTTCCACACCTCCTTCTCCGGCGGCAGTCTTTCCGTCATGAGATGATGTAGCTGCACTGATGAAAGCTAGCAATCTTATTGGTATTTTTCCAGCTTGCAGATTCATTTTCTGCTGAAACAGTATCTCTGGTGAAACCTGCTTTTGCTGATACTCTCCAGAAGCTTTACAGTATGATGATCCGCATAAACACCGGTGCTCATCGCTGTCTGTGTTTTCGATTCTCAAGTTTTACTGGCTATGGTGAGCTAGATCCTGGATCTGAAACCTCCAGAGTCTCTAAAAGCCTCGTCTCTGGAAACAGGAACGCAATCCCGATTCCTCACAGGAGTAATCCTGAACCCAAAGGGCAAAACCTCGACTTCGTCAATGTCGCTCATAGCCACCTGATTCAATCTGATTGGGACAAGCTCGAGAAGCTATCGGACCACTTGGATCCATTCAGGGTCAAGAACATACTGCTGAAGATCCAGAAAGACTACGTTCTTTCTCTTGAATTCTTCAACTGGACGAAAACCCGAAACCCAGGTTCCCACTCTCTCGAAACCCATGCTATACTCCTCCACACTCTCACCAAACACCGGAAATTCAAATCCGCAGAGTCGATTCTGAGAGAGATCCTCGTAACCGGTGGCGTGGATTTGCCTGCGAAACTGTTCGATGCCTTGTTGTATTCCTACAGAGAATGCGACTCCACGCCTCGAGTGTTTGATTCGCTGTTCAAAACTTTCGCTCATCTGAAGAAATTCAGAAACGCCACAGATACCTTTACGCAGATGAAGGATTACGGGTTTCTTCCAAATGTGGAATCTTGCAACGCTTACATGAGCTCGCTGCTTGGTCAAGGGAGAGTGGACATTGCTCTGAGGTTCTACAGAGAAATGCGTCGATGTAAGATCTCCCCAAACACATACACTCTCAACATGGTCATCTCATGTTATTGTAGATCTGGAAAGCTCGACAAGGGCACTGAGTTGCTACAAGACATGGAGAGATTGGGTTTTCGTGCCACTGACGTATCGTATAATACATTGATAGCCGGATACTGCGAGAAGGGTCTTTTGAGCTCGGCTTGGAAGCTTAAGAACACGATGGTGAAGAACGGGCTGCAGCCTAACGTAGTTACTTTCAACACTCTCATACATGGGTTTTGCAGAGATGTGAAGTTACAAGAAGCTAGTAAGGTTTTCGGTGAGATGAAGGCGATAAACGTTGCTCCCAACACTGTCACGTACAACACTTTGATTAATGGGTACAGCCAACAGGGTGATCACGAGATGGCGTACCGGTTTTACGAAGATATGGTCTTCAACGGGATTAAGCGTGACATTTTGACGTACAACGCGTTGATCTTGGGGCTGTGCAAACAAGCGAAGACGAAGAAAGCTGCACACTTTGTTAAAGAACTCGACAAAGAGAATCTGGTGCCGAACTCTTCCACCTTCTCTGCGCTGATAATGGGACAATGCGTGAGGAGAAATGCAGACCGTGGTTTCGAACTGTACAGAAGCATGATTAGGAGTGGTTGCCATCCGAATGAACAGACATTCACTATGTTGATTTCTGCCTTCTGTAAGAATGATGATTTTGATGGAGCAGCTCAAGTGTTGAGAGAAATGGTCAGAAGATCAATTCCTCGTGATTCAAGGACTGTTCATCAGGTCTGCAATGGACTTAAGCATCAAGGGAAAAACCAACTTGTGAAAGAGTTGTTACAGGAGACGGAAGGAAAAAATAACCCTTTATGTAACCGAGTAGCAGAAGTTATTAACCAAAAATGAAACCAGTTTCTTTTTGTTCAGTAAAAGAAGAAATTGAATACGTGTTTAGAAAGTTTACAATCTCATAAATATTACAGGACACAGGGCAAGAGTAGGAGAGTATATGTTACAACAACAAATGAATACCTCAAAATGAATAAAGTTACACTCCAAGAATTTCCTGCTCTTTGGGACAGAACTAGAATATAAACAGGAAAATTTGTATGGTTCCGGTTGTTAAGATTTGACTGAGCCACACAGGGAAATCTTACGAGGGCGGAAGACATTATCAACAGGGAGGAGACGTGATCAAGGGTTGATCACAGAAGTAGAAGAGAGGCAAGAACCATTGCAAAAACAGAAAGGAGAAGAGACAGAGCGAGTCGGGTTTGTCCACTAGGTGCTTGTGCATTAGTTGATGGGGTTCCAGGGGTTGAGGTTGGGGCTTTTGCTGTAACCGGAGGTAGTGGTGGCTCAGTGACATCAGCATCTGTGAAAACCGGGTTTGGAGCTTGGGCTGGAGGCATGGCCGTAGGACTCACAACCTTTAAGAGGCCACCGGGTTCGACAGGGGCCATGTATGCTGGAAACTCTTTTCTGCTCAAACATCGATTCTCTGCAGAAGTCAAAAAAAAAAACAGTTAATCCTTGATATTAATAACTGTGTGTGTGTGATACCTTAGGTGCAGTTTTGGGCCACGTACTCTTGTATCTTGCAGCTGTGAAAGGGAATTCAGTGATGGTTCCATTGATACCGGGTCCAAAGATATACGAGTTTATCTCAACAGTTGCATCAGCGAAGAAGTCATATGGTTGAGATACAAACTCATTCTGAAATAGTTCCACATAAACCGGGAGCTGAGACTTCTGCAGCCTCTCCACAACATTGGTTTGCCCCGTGATGAACCCCTCAGAGACGGGAAAGACTGATGATTTTCCGATGACAACAGCGTTAGCGAATTTCTTTATGTCTTCGATAGCAGAGTCGAGGATATCACGGATGGTTTCTTCAACTTTGTACACGGTCTCGTACTGGCTCTGTTTCTTGAAGTCGACTAGAACCGAGCTATTTGTAGACTGAATCATCACCTTTGCAGTTGTTCTGTTGCTGTAGCCAGTCTCTGTGAGTGCATCAAGAACCGCTTTAACCACGTCGAGCCCTTGATTCTCTCTCAGGTATGCTGCATTCTGAGGGATGCAAAAAAAAAAAAAAAAAAAAAAAATAGTGGCATGGCCTTGAGAAGACGGCTCCTATTGATATAATCTTTAAGAGTAAGAGGTACACGATACTCACCTCTACGCTGATCAAAACACCGGAGAGAGAGGTGGAGTTCTTTGCCAAGTTTAGGAATTCAGAAAGCGAAAGAAGCTTCCCAGAAGCTCTCTCCTTTGGATTCCTTAACAGATTGTATGGATCTCTGTAGGGGTTTGAAATAGAAACTGCAAAAAAACCAAAAAAAAAATTGGAGAATAGTTATTGTAACTGTAAAGTTATGTAACCTTTAAAGTAGCCTGTAACGTTATTTAAGTTAAGTAGGAGTAGAAATAGAAGCTCTCAAACAAGTTACTATAAATAGTAAGAAGAAGAGTGTTAGACCACCATTTATCTGAAAGCAAATAGAAAATTTGAAGAGAAACTTACCAGTCAAGGTCTGGATCTCAGTCCATGTGAGACTAAAAGTGTATATTCCACCAACCGAGCTAATCTCAGGAACAGGTGTTGAACGGTTTCTGAAAGCAGTTTGGGCGACGTTTGTGGTATTCCCAAGCTCGATCGAACTTGCACAAAAAGGTTTACCGTCGCTGGACATTTGGACTGAGCAATCGATAACATCAGCACCATCTTTGATTGCCTTCTGATACGCCAAGTTTGTGCATCCTGGATAGTCTCCGCTCGCACCATTTCTTGATATAACAAGAAAATCCACTGAGACAAGAACCATTCAGTAGATGATAAGTCAATTACAGGTTTGTTTATTGGGGTATGATAAGTCATAGCAAGAAACAAAGCAAAAGTCATTAACTCTCGTAGTACCTTGTTTAGTAGCGTTTCTGCCAATGTGGGAGAAGCAGTCTGAGGAAAATACGAAAAAAGAATGTTTTGATTTTAAGTATTTTCATCAGTAGTTTTAAAGGACAAAGTACGTGTCTGTAGAAGAAGAGGTTTTGCTTACCGAGGGATGCAGATGCAGTTATGGGAAAATCAGAGAGCAGACCATCGACAGAGAAATTGCCATTGTCCACAAAAGACAGATACTCAGACACAGGGTCGAAACTGTAGTCGTGTGCAATATCAACATCATTTGCAAATCCTGACACATAAACTTCCAATCCTGCTTTGTGAGCATCTTGCACTAAGGATGTAGGAGGAAGCAAGTACTGATCGTCATCGAGTGGCAACACGTAAGACTTGGGTACAAGAATCCCGGAAGCAAACGTCTTGACAAAAGTTAGGTTACTCAGGATAGAACCGTAGGTTCGGTTTGTTGTTGGCTCGAATTCTTCTTTGTCGAGGAACCGGAACACGAGACTCGGTCCGTTACGCCCGAAACGTCCAGCAATCTTCCTAAAGAAATTCAATTCAGGGGAAGAGATGAAGTCAATGATTACATTTTTCGAAGCTGATATCAGAAAGCTGCTCATGCTCAGATTATGCTGCGCGTAGAAGGCTTCGTGCTGAACATTTAACCATAAGCTTTGTCGTTTCAACTGCGCGTTTACATCTTCAACTGTCAAAATCGAGTATTCGTTTCCATCGAATCCTGGTGACCGAGATAATATACCTCGTATCACTGCAAAAGGTGAGAGAACAAGTTTGTGAGAAAGTTGCAAGAAAGCATCCAAATTCGATTTCCTACAAAAGCACTGAACAACACTTACAGGTAACGTTCTTGAGCTCTCTCGAGGAGAAATCAATGGTGAACCAACCCTGAGTAGGGACTCCATTAACAAGGTACGTTTTTTGGCGACCTGGGAAAGCAATTTCAATATTTGAAGCATTGCTCATGGTTAAATCAGGGAAGCAAATCCCAGTTCCGTCTTTGGTTAGCTGAACATCGCACCATATAACAGCATCTTCCACACTTGTCTGCATTGCGAAACCGTAAGCATCGATGCTCGAATCTGGAAACAATCCAGAAAACCCACCACGAGCAATCACACGAGGAGAATCACCTGGTAACAACCAAAAAAAAAGGCGGTAATCAATAAGTGATTTAAATAAATGAGATTAAAGTAAATTACCTACGGGACTTTTCTATATTTGGAAACTAATGGCTAAAATTTTCTCAAACCAAAATTGAGTTTTCCATAAGTAATCTGATTTAATCCCCAAATGGGGGAAATCAGAGTGAAATTAAAATCTGGTGGCTATCCCAACTTGTACTACAAATCTGGATGGTTAGTTTCTCTCGCGGAAAGCATTGAGCAGAGAAAGAGAGAAAGTGAGAGAGCACTCACCGGTGAGCGTCTGCCATGGACTTTTAGATCTTTGAGCGTCGATTTGAGCAGCAAGCAGCTGAATCAGAACAACACCGCAGAGTAAAAGCGACGAAGCTCGTAGTAACCCTCGCATTGTCGGATTACCTCGCCGGAATTTCGTCGTAACCTGCCCTTCTCCTTCCGGCGATGACTTCACCGGCTTCTTGTTTTTTTCTCGGCAACGGAAGGAGATTTGTTAGAGAGAGAGAGAGAGATAGAGGTTGAGAGAGGGTCTTCTAGTTCTAGCTATTCGTTTGTGGGATTCTCATTTATATGATCGTTGATTAAAAATTACAATACTTAAATTAATATATATATAAAAAGTCTGCTAATTAAATTTCTTCGTACAAGTTATACAAGTTACAAGTGTATTTCTATCATTGAAATGATTTTCCAATAAATAATTGCGGCCTACCACAATTACGCGTAATCACGTATTTCTTTGGACCGTCGAGGAGCCGAGGTTTTAGTCGGTCGGCTTTTACCTTAAGCTGATGTTTGTTCCTCGAATTTTTACATAATTGTTGGAGAGAACAAAATAAAACAAAGAGTATTTATCTACTAAAAACTCATGGAGCGATCAAAAATAGTAAAAAATTTAGTAGCATGTTTGTCTTTATTTACTTGAATCCAATGCAAAAGGACACTGAACCTCACATGGTTACAAGAATTAGCACTAGAGATCTCCAAATAAATTAAAAAAGAGTATTGTTTGTTATCAATAACTAAAGCACACCAACAAATTATGTTACTCTATGTTTATTTCTTGAATCTGCATTTAAATTATACTAATGTTGTTTTTTTTGTAAAAAAGAAGTAGTAACAAATAAACGTTTGCTTTATGCAGGTGAAACAATTATGGTTTTGCTCTACATAACCTATAAACTAGACATGAGTACAATCATTAATCGATTTATTTTATTCTACTACATCTAATGGACTTTTCTTTGTTGTGCAGAATATAACTCTCGAGTACTCGTAAAGTTAATAAATATGGGCGCCAATTATGCCCTTTAACTGATATGATGAATTATACTTTTGCATGCATTAGCAATGATTTTGTACACACTAGTAGAGCTCAGTCTATATGTATTCTAGTAATATCTCCATAACGCAAACTCTAATCGACCGAGGTTTTCCTTAAATCCTACTATAAATTAGTTACACAGCCCACACTTTCATTTAATAGGATGTTCTTTAATGCTGTGCTGTGATTTATTTGATATCATCATTAAGACGAAAAGGAGCAGCTTGGTCGGCGGCTTGGCGCGAGCCAAACTGAATAAAGTGGCGAATGAATAATTAACAGCTAAGGCGGGTCCCATAACGTGGCCGTCATGACTTATCTGTAGTCTTACACGTGGCAATTAGCCATTTGTAGTCATTCATGAGATCAGCAAAGACGCGCAAACCTGTCAACTTATTCGTGGGACCATTGTTTGCTGTAATAAGCACCCAAAATAAAAACCACCACTTTCGAAAATCTTTGTAACATTTCTTTTTATATTTGTTGTCCCAAATACAAATTTCAGAAGGAAAGTTTCTAACGTGGATGTTGATTTGATGCATATACACAATTGGAATAAATGTTTTAATTAAAATTTTATAATATAATTTGCTAGGTCAACTTTACTTTTAATCCCTTAATTTATTATGCTCGGAAAGAATAGGCTGCTGCCCAGTGATGTTGACCTCAATCTTGTAATGATACGTGATGAATACATTTTTTTATTGCGATCTATTTTCTGAGTAGTATTTATCAAAACTGGTTTGGGACGGTTTAATCGACGACCAACATACCTGGCTGTCTTCAGCCTTTATGAAAATTAAATTGTTTCCCCCTGAAATGATTGGACCCTTAAAACGCATATATATATATATATATATTGGCACGGACACTTACGAAACCCACATGATCGGTTGAAAGTGAGACAAGTTTTAATATTAAATTGAACGACATTTTTTTGGTATTTTGCAGAAAAAACAGATTATGGGGTAGGTTATTGTTTTAACGATACGAAAATCACGAATCAGAGAGTGCAGCACAACGAAAATTACAACACATTAATTATTCGGTTATTTGTTCCACTATACTATAACGAACACAATGCTCAGATCTATTATACATATGTACTCTTAAGAACCAATCATGAGCTAAACCAAACACAAGTCTAAATTTAAATCATGCAGAACTCATAATACTATCAACTCCAACGCACCATGCATCGTCTTGTATCGATGCATTGCCGGTCCGACAATTACTGATGCTCTATGCAAATCTAAACAAATATTTTTTTATATATTATATTTAATTTATTTTAAAACTATAGTAAAAATTCTATTAAAAATCCAATTTCAAATCAGTATTTCAAATTTATAAATAGTTTATAAAAAAATAAAAAACAATAAAAATAATTGTTTATTAAAAATAGTTGTTTATATTTTTACCTGCAAATTTGTTAATAATATTTGAAGTATGATATATTTTTATTTCAGAAAGTTATTAATTTACAAAATATATTAATAACATCTAAACAAGTTTTAAATAAACAAATTATTAAATAATACAATTTTAAATAAAATACAATCATGATAAAAATAATTTAAAGAATAAAATATTAAAAATAATCAACTTTTATTGATTTTTTTTTAAAATGTAATTTAAAATAAATTTTCTTTTCAAACTAATATTTATTAAATGAATAAAGTATATACTAGTTATTATTTTATAATATTAATAGGACCATATATTTTCTATAACTTTTATCATCTTTTTATTGCTGTTTTCTAAAATGTACATAACTTATGTTACCATCTCATCTTATCTCTTATCATATTTAAATAAAAATAAATTTTATATCATATGTATATATATATATACATAAATTTATTTTCATTGTATATCAAAATTTGAGAACATAAATAAAATAAAAAATAACCGAACGAAAGAATAAATTATAATAAGATGAAACAATATAAATAAGATATAAAAATAGAAGTATATAAAAATAAATCTCTCGCACTTTGTTTTACAAAGTCACTTAAAATTTTTTTAACACCTAAGAGCCATATTTCAATTTTTTTACAAATACGCGTATATACATAAATATTAATAGTACATTAGTTGAAGTCACATGCGAACTTTCCCGTGCATGTATTTTGTTAAGATTGATTACAAACTTAATTTTTATATTAATTATTATACAATTTATATTTTTAAAAAAATATTTATCTATTCTAAGTGTAGTGAAGTGGTTGGTATGTCCGCACATGCGTGCCAACCATCTATCCGCTCTTAAGAATAAGTAAAAATGGTAAAAACTATTTCAGTTTAATTTGCAATAAATCAAGAAAAATATATACTTAAAATATATTATATATGTATTTGAAAATTCATATTATATAAGATGCAAAAAAGCATATTGTAGATTGTGTAAGGAGAAATAAAGCATATTATAGAAATATTCAAAAAATATTATAAAAATTTAATTATTATTTAACATAACTTTTATATTTATGATTATATATTATTACAAGTATTATAAAAATAAAGTTTTTAGAATACATTGGTTTCAGAAAGAAGTTTGTAAAATATTAAAACAATATTTATACAAACATATCAATGTTTTAAAAAAAACTAATCAATATTTAAATATTACAATTAACTATGTATATAAAAAAAATTTATATCTGCACATATGTGCGGGCAACCACCTAGTTTCCATTTATAAGCTTGTCGTTGAACTCAACAGCTGATATATATATATCTATATTAGTTCTACAACCAGTGCCGATCCGACAATTATTGATGCCTTATGCAAATCTAAATTTTTTTTTTTATATATTGTATTTAACTTTATTTTTAAAACTATAGTGAAAATTCTATTAAAAAAATCCAATTTCAAATCAGTACTTCAAATTTATAAATAGTTTAAAAGAAAATAAAAAACAATAAAAATAATTTATTATTAAAAATAGTTTTTTATATTTTTACCTGTAAAATCATTCATTAAACTCACGTAATCAAGTTTTTTAACCATACAAGCATTATCAAATTCTAATTACCAATTTAACAATAGATTCAAAGTTTTCCTTTTTTAAAGGAAGTAGTAGAAAAAAAAAGAAATCAAATAAGCTAGGTAATTTAAAAGAGTTGCTTAGCTGTGAAAGATAAGTTAAAACATAAATTTATTAACAAAAGACTTAAAATTATATTTATATATAAATATTCATAGGAAAATATTAAAAATAGATGCCCTAAATATTTTTGCTGCCCTAAGTCTTTGCTTCACCTGCTTACTTTATGGACCGGCCCTGTATCAATGCTCTCAATTTTCAGATAAACACGTCAGTTATACTTCCCAACTAGGTAATAACCTGCACTCTATGCGGGATGAAATAATTATTATTTATTTAAATATAATATAATTTTAAAATCATATAATATAATAAAATATAATTATATTTATATGAATTTCATATAATATTATATTATAACATTGACAGTATATTTTTTTATAACATATAGAGTAATTTAATTATCATATAAATTAATTTAAAAGTAAAATATCATGCATAGCACATGATATAGCTGGATAGAAATACAAAGTTGCCATATAGATTTTCTATAAGATTTAGATATATAATATTTATGTATATATTTAATTACTTTTAACTCTTAAATAATAATTAAATATTATTATTTAAATAATTTGTTACTTATCTACTATATCAAATGAATTATAAAAAAGACACAAATTTTATATTTTTAATTTGGAAAACAAAAATTATATCTATAAATTATATCTTTGTAAAAGAAAAGAATAATTATTGACTCTAAAAACTTTTAATTAAAAAATATTATCTAAAATATAATAATAAAGCATAATTGGATATATGATAAATAGTAAGTTGGGAGTATAGTGTATACATGATAAAATTTAAGATGTAATATAATTAGAGTTTTGATGCGTTATTGCTATGATTGATTATATAAAAGTAATGTGACAACTAATTATTTTTATAATTAGCTTCTATAAAAATATTGATGTTTATTCATTTTATATATATTTTTACTCTAAATAAGTTTTAAATATTGATGACTTATTAGACAAAAGTGTCACTATCCTTTATACTCAAAATTTTTAAATATATATATCTAAACTAACAAAATAAATTTGAATTAATATATTACTTATATCTAAATTAGATTAGTGAATGCGATAAATTAAATTAATCATATTATTAACATATATCAAACACAATAAAATTTATTTCCATTAAAATTATTAATAAATTCTCAATTACCTCATAATTATATTATATTAAATATTAAATATTATTTATTGTATACTAAATTTTGGAAAGAATCTAAATTATGAGCTAATTAAAAATTTACTTTTGAAAAAAGTCAATTAAATCGAATTATAATTATTTACTTTTATTTATAATGATTATAATGAACTCAAATTACAATCAACTTTTATAATGATTATAATGAACTCAAATTATAATAATTTATGTTTATTTATTAATAATCTGAGCAATTTATATTCAATTTTTAAAATTCAAATTATAATACATGTATAAAAAATCTATATATTTTTTTTATTATATAAATGATGTATAAGTTTAAATGAAAATAAGATAAAAAAGATTTTTGGTAGAAATGTACTTAAAGAAATAATTAATATGATATATTTTTGGTAAGAAATAAAAGAAAGAGAATATCTTAATAATTTAAATATTGATTTAAAAATTAGACATAACATATTTATGGACCTAAAATACACAATGACATATCATGTAATTAGTCTAGTAATCTAAGGTTTTTTTAAAAAATTAGTTCAGAATGAATGTGGAGTTAGACATATCAGCATAATGGCACCACTGTAAATACTTACAAAAATAAGGTTATTTTTAAAAAATGTTTTTTTTTTAATATATAAGAGATATGATTCACGTATGATGCTAACATTATATATGCTTTCTGCGTTTGTTTGTTTTTTTTTTTTATGGCTGGGCCTGGGAGTATCCCTCCCTCTAAAACGTGAAAACATGTATAAATCAGTCAAATAAAACCCTAGAGTTTTAACGCCACGTGGTCTTCTAATTTCATATTTTAATTTGACTTTTACAATTAAAGATCAACGAGATCTTTCTTATTTCCTCAAAAGACAAAGTTTTTGCAGTCCTCTAAAACACAAGTTGGGAAATAACCACTAAAACCCAAGAAAAAGGAAAAGAAATGATAATGATACTCACACAAGTGGGACATGTGCATGTAGTGGTACATGGTACATGTGAAGGATATTCTTTATAATGTTTTTTGTCATCGCTTATACTTATAGATCTTAAAGAGAAAGATTTGCAAATTGCAACATGTTACATACATTTTGTTCTTTCATGTTTTTATAGAAGTTCCAGTGTATATATATACAATTTTAGATACTTCTTGTCATCAAACTATAATTTCAAAAGTACATTATGTTTTGATAATTATATATGTAGAAGTACTAATCTATATATATATATATATATACACTAGATATTGTAATTAAATAAACCATGATCAATAAAACAAAGAGTTCTTATATCGGATTGGGCATTCAGGTTGTTCAATATCTCGATATATCTAATAGATATTGACACATACAACTCTTCTTAACCCGCAAACTCAGTCTTTGCCTAGATAGACATGATGATGCATACAAGACACTTAGACACTCTCAAAGTCCCGCAAATCATGTCTCAATCTCTTAACCCGAAGTGGTTCACGCATATGGAAACTCCTCATCACTCTTCCGTGAACCATAGTTTGTTCTCATCGCTTATAATATTAGGCCATCAAAAACTCTTCAGCGACGAGTTTTGGTAACTAAATAATCGTTATCTTTTTGGTAACACAGTTTCATATTCAAAAATACAAAATTTTGATATATATACTAAACGATGCTGCTTAGAAAATTTGTGATCATTGTGTAAACTTTGCATCTTAATTAATTCACAAAGGCCCAAGATGTGGAGCATCATCCCAAGCATGTTATGGATTTGGGCTGTGAATCTGTGATAAATATTTCTAGATAGTATTTATGGCCACACAAATTGCAGGTCCATCATACAAATGTATCTTTAAAAATGGGCTTAGGGTCAGCGTTGACGTCAACAAACCCGTTAAGCCATGTTGTTAGACTAGAAGACTGTTAGTAAAGATTTGAGGATTCGTATTTTACCTTTCAATATTTTCACCTTACATCTACCGTAACCTTTTTACCATGAACACCACAACGAAGTTTCAAACCTAGAATCGACGCCAACCAAATGAAAAAGTCAGGAGACATTAAATTGCATTTTAATCTAATACGGTGTAAACGCAGATGGCGACAAATATGAGATGTCAAGGAGAAGTGACACGTAGACAAGTCGTTACGCCGTGAGGTCAGCGTCCTATGTCGAGGTGGACGCACATACCCTCCACGTGTATGCCACAGAGAGCGAGTGGGAATAGCTGTGATATACTCGCGCGCTTGACACTGATGCTCAAAACCGGAGCATTCAATGCCAGTGAGCCTTTTCACCTCTCACACGAAACATAACTCGTTTTTTTTTTCCCTCCCTCTATTCACGGGGCTTTGTTAATTGCTCACACCAAGTACGAATTTCGTCTCTCTCTCTCTCTCCCTCATCATCATCATCTTCGTCTCATTGAAATCGCTTCCCGTGACGCAGTTTGTCTTTCGCACATTGCGGTTTAGTTCCTCCGTCTCGGCCACTTACTCATCGATATCGATGTTACGTTGTAGTGAGGAATTCAACGCCGAGTTTCCTTCACCCGAGGTTAGAGGCGAATTTCCGTACATTGGGACTATCTTCGATCTCTCGAGATTAGTAGTTTTCTAGATAAATAGTTTGCGTGATGGAGTCGTCTATCCTGTAAATGGTCGGTTACCCAGTTTTGTCCTCTTGTAATGATCGCCTTTTGTTGCTATATTAAGGACAAATTTTCGAATCGGTGGTGATATTTCGTTTTTCTTTTTCTTAGCCACAGATTAATTCCACAAGCTTACAGTGATTCATTTTCAGGGATAATCGAAATAGAGGATTCTGGGTATATTTGTTTTCGTGATTCTGGATTTTTAGCCCCGCCCCGTGAATCGGGGAGATGTCTGGGTTCGTGGGTGTTGTCGTTTCGGATCCATGGCTACAGAGCCAGTTCACGCAAGTCGAACTTCGGACTCTCAATTCCAAGGTCTGTTCTCTTTCGTTGTTCAATCTAGGCCTGTGGATGAAACTCGTCTGAGTGTAAAGTTCTGATTTTGTTGGTGTATAGTTTGTATCGTCGAAGAATCAGAGTGGAAAGATCACCACAGAAGATCTCCCTCCTCTCTTGGCAAAGCTGAAGGCAATTAATGCAACGTTTAAGGAGGACGAAATCAGGGTGATTCTAGAAGAATTGGGTTCTGACTCAAGCAGTGATGTGGGATTTGAAGAGTTTCTCAAGGTAGATATGTGGATCTTCTGGCGATTCTTGGTGAACCGGGTTTTGGATCTAAAATGTGGTTTTGGATTTGATCATAATGTGCAGATATATCTTAACTTACAAGGGAAAGCAGCTGAGAAGTCTGGTGGTCATAAGAACTCGTCCTCGTTTCTTAATTCTAGTACAACGACACTTCTTCACACTATAAACCAGTCAGAGAAGGGATCTTTTGTTCAACACATCAACAGATATCTTGGGGATGACCCCTTTCTGAAGCAGTTCCTTCCTCTTGACCCTGATTCTAATGAGTTGTATGAACTCGTGAAAGATGGTGTACTTCTGTGGTAATGTCCACATTTCTCATCATACATTTTATAGAGTCTATCTCAATCTGAGTTTTAATCGTTTCTCTCCCTTTCTTTCTGGGGCAGTAAGCTCATAAATGTAGCAGTTCCCGGGACAATAGATGAACGAGCGATCAACACGAAGAAGGTACTTAATCCATGGGAGAGAAATGAGAATCACACACTTTGTCTCAACTCTGCTAAAGCTGTTGGATGCACCGTTGTTAATATAGGGACACAGGACCTGGCCGAAGGACGGGTATGTTTTGTCTGCTCAGTGTACATTTGAACACATTTCAAAACACATCACAGTCAATGAAATTTTGCACACTTCTGACCAAGGAGGTTTATTGTTTTGCAGCCTCACCTGGTGCTTGGATTGATTTCACAACTCATAAAGGTTCACACTTCAGCCACTTGTCTGCTTCGTGTATATGCTAGCTGTTCCTTTTGTGCTGGGTTATTAACTAAACAATTTTGGCAACTGCAGATTCAACTACTTGCTGATCTCAATTTAAGGAAGACGCCTCAGCTTGTTGAGTTGGTTGAGGACAGCGATGTAATTGAACTACCAATCACACTGTCACATTCGTCTTGTGAATCATAATATGTAACAGGTTTCTCTCTGTTGCAGGATGTTGAGGAGTTTCTGAGATTACCCCCTGAGAAAGTCTTACTGAAATGGATGAACTTCCATCTTAAGAAAGGGGGTTACAAGAAAACTGTCTCAAACTTCTCTTCGGATTTGAAGGTATTTAGCTTCTCAAAGTACAACTTGGAGGAAACCTCTCTCTTTTGTTTATCCAAACTCTTTACTTAGGCGATTCCAGATTCAAGATTGTACTTACGTGCTACTGTTCCTTCCAACATGCCGAAGCGATATCAGTTCTAGGATAAGAGGAATAATGTGAACGATTTAAGTCATAAAAGAAACATAATTTTTTTTTCTTACTCGAGGGTTTGGTAATTTCATGGATGCAATTTGTTGAACCTCATCAAGTAAAGCGTGTTTCTGGTAAATGTGCAGGATGCACAAGCCTATGCTTACCTGCTCAATGTTCTCGCACCTGAACACTGTGACCCGGCTACACTAGATGCAAAGGATCCTCTTGAGAGGGCTGAAAATGTTCTCAATCATGCAGAGAGAATGAACTGCAAGCGATACTTGACTGCTGAAGAGATTGTTGAAGGATCTCCAACTTTGAATCTCGCGTTTGTGGCACAAATATTCCATGAAAGGTTTGTATTGTGAGACTCTCATCAGTGAAAAGGTTATTAGGCCGGTGATGGTTTACTAAAAGAATGTCTGTTGTTTGTAAGCTATTCTGGACAAACAAACTTGTGAATGTTTATGGGAAAAAGAACGGGAAAACTGCTATTATCAACAATTCAAAAGCTTCTTACCTGAAATAACTTTACTTGGGAGATTTTAAGCGTTTCGTTCTGTATGCACTGGTGTTTTACTCTAGCTGTACCTGTTGCAGGAATGGTCTAAGTACCGATGGTAAGTATTCATTTGCGGAGATGATGACCGAAGATGTACAGACTTGTAGAGATGAACGATGCTATCGTCTATGGATCAACAGCCTCGGGATTGACAGTTATGTCAATAATGTGTTTGAAGATGTTAGAAATGGGTAAGCTTTATGTTTTCTATTTAGTAAAGCAACCAATCTGTAGAAGTTGTACCTGTAGTTGGAAATGTTGCAATTTGAAAAAATACTGAAAACAAGTTTGGTGCTACATACTATTTTGCTGCAGATGGATTCTTCTGGAAGTGCTTGACAAGATCTCTCCTGGGTCAGTGAACTGGAAGCATGCTTCAAAGCCGCCGATTAAGATGCCATTTAGAAAAGTAGAGAACTGCAATCAAGTCGTAAAGATTGGGAAAGAGCTGAAATTCTCACTCGTAAATGTAGCTGGAAATGACATAGTTCAAGGGAACAAAAAGCTCATTCTTGGTACTCATTACCCGAGAGCCCATGCTTTGGTTTCTTTTTAGCTTGATGCAAGAAGATGATATATGTTTTGTGTGTCTCAGGTCTCTTGTGGCAGTTGATGAGATTTCATATGCTCCAACTTCTCAAGAGTCTCAGATCGCGGACACGAGGTAAAGAAATGACTGATGCAGATATCCTCAGCTGGGCCAACCGGAAAGTAAGAACTATGGGGCGAAAATCGCAGATAGAGAGCTTCAAGGTTCCTTTTCTTCATATCAACTTCAAGCACTTACCTTCATACTATTTGTAAAATATGTCCACCATCACTTTCTACTGATGAATGAAATTGAAATTCTTCAGGACAAGAGTCTATCAAACGGGCTATTCTTCCTCGACCTTCTATGGGCGGTTGAGCCAAGAGTTGTAAACTGGAATCTTGTCACCAAGGGTGAAACAGGTTCACTGCCCTCTTTACTAGATTGACTCCAGTTACTTTCTCAGTCTTAACTTAATTAAGCTTATTTCATTTTTTTTTGTGGTTGTTGAAACGTACAGATGACGAGAAGAGGCTGAATGCTACGTACATAGTCAGCGTAGCAAGAAAGCTGGGATGTTCGGTTTTCTTGTTGCCTGAAGATATCGTGGAGGTAAGAACCGAGATCTATAATGTAGTATCTGGTAATTACCACTTACTTAGTAAGAGTAAAATGATGAGATGGTATTATTGGGATGTTGTGACAGGTGAATCAGAAGATGATCCTAATCCTAACGGCGAGTATAATGTACTGGAGTCTTCAGAAACGCTCATCGGAGAGTTCGGATTCACCGTCAAGTCAGAGCACAAGCACAGACGCGTCCCCTGCTCCGTCTGTCACCGGAGAGGACGAAGTTTCCTCATTGAGCGGCGAAGTCTCTAGCTTGGCCGTTGATGACAACGATGCTGATGCGGTTTCCGACATCACCACAGTCTCAGAGGAGACACCCAACGAATAAAGAGATGGAGAAACGAATATCTCTTGCGAGAGAAAAGTAGCTTTTGTTATACGTACCAACTACTCTGTAACCTGTATGTGTGTCTTGCGCATTCTGCCTCCTTAGAGAGATGCCTATAGGATAGTTTCCCGTCTTCAGGCAGAGAGTTACTACACATCTCCAAATGTTGCCTTTACTGTACAGTGTCGTGATTTTGGTAAAGCCTCGTGCATAGCTGAGTTGATGAATATTACAGAAGCCTAATCGATAAAACTTAGGTTATTAAAAAAACACCTCCAAATTTCGGTATCTCAACATAGAAACTAAAAAGTATTGATGATACAAGAAAGTAACTAAAACAGTGCAATTTTTCTTGTGTTTTATGTAAAAGCAACTCAATTAAGGCGGCAAGGTTAGAAACCCGCGCGGCTTGATACGACATCGTGTGAGTTTTAAAAACCGCCCAGCGATTAAACCCTCTTTGCGAAACAGAGTCTCTCTATGCCTTAGGCTCTCCAGCCTCCTCGGCATCGGAAGCGTAACAACATATAAGAGAGCAAGAAAACTTGAGAGAGGAGGGACAATGAAGATTGGCATCATCCACAATTTTCATCGCTTCTTGAATAAGGTGGATTATTTGATTTGATTCAGCACAAATTTCATCACTGTGGTGTTGTAACACAAGATAGAGTTTCAGGTACGAATTGTGGGATTTTCTATTTCAACTCCACCACACTGTTATCAAAATTTCCATATCCGCTGTTGTAAACAACGTATAGCCCTAATCTTGGATTGAGATATTTTTCAATGGAGGGGACATAGAAATTGAAGAAGACGTAGGTGACACTCTTGTAGAAGAACTGTAGATGCTATTTTTGTTTTCCCTTGATGCGTACGGTTTTGCGTAATGAACTTAACAATATTTTTAGGATTTCCTTTTTTTTTTATTTTCTTTTTAGTATAAATAAGATTTGGGTTTCTTCAATGGAGAACGTAGTTGAGTCGATTATTATCTCAAACAGAAAAACTTGTTAACATATTCTCATCAGGTATGGCCACTGAAGTTGTTTCAAAACCAGTGATGGAAAATATGCATGATGGGTTTAGTGACGACAATGATGATAAACCTTTAGTGTTCAAGAGAAGTGTTATATCCTCCGATGTTAAGGATAGGGAGCAGTCACACAGAGAAGATTCTGAGGATGATAGAAAATCGATTGCGCCAAAAGAGGCTCCGTCCTCTTCACGGCAGGTCACACCACAGCAACTAGAAGAAAAGATCAGTGGCAGCCCTACTTTGGATAAGCCAAGATGCAAAATCACTAAAGATGACGACTCAGATGATGAAGCTCCACTATCGTCAAGGTTTCAAAATAAGAAGAATGGGATTTCAGGTAGCAAACAAGACTCTACTGATGAAAAGAAACCATCGGTTAAGAAGAAGAAGAAGAAGTTGCAGAATGGTTCCACACTTGAAAACGAAGTCCCCAAGGTATCTGGTAAGAGACTTCTGGAGAAGGGATGTTCTGAAGATCAATCTTCCATGAAGAGGCCCAAGGTATCATCATCTTCAGCTGCAGTGAAACAAGATTCTGCTAAAACCAAAAATTCAGGTGAAAAGAGGAAGGCTTTGGTATCACCTAAACAAATCCCTGCTAAAGAAGACAAAACTGATGATGATGATGATGATGATGATGATGATGATGATGATGATGATGTTCCAATTGCCAAGAGAATCAAGCCAGGTAATAAAAAACCATCTGAAAAGCCTAAAGTAGTAAAACAGAGTTCTAGTTCATCAACAAGGAAGCCCAGAGTGACCAGGAAGGAGTCTAAGTATGCTATGTCTTCAAAATCCTTACCTACTGGCGATGGGAAAAAGAAATGGACTACTTTGGTGCACAATGGTGTCACTTTTCCACCACATTATGAGCCTCATGGGGTCAAGATTCTATATAAGGGGAAGCCAGTCAACTTATCTCCTGAGCAAGAAGAGGTTGCAACGATGTTTGCTGTGATGAGGGAGACGGAGTATTACAATAAACCTCTGTTTAGGGACAACTTCTGGAATGATTGGCGAACATTACTTGGCAAGAACCATGTGATACAGAACCTGCATGACTGTGACTTCACCCCTATATACGAGTGGCATTTGGAAGAGAAGAAGGTAAAAATTCTGTTTACAAGGATGAAGATCTTAGTTGAACTTGTCTTGTTTCTTAAAATGGATATTCATCTAAGACTTTCTAAGTTTGTAAATTTCTTCCATAATTGTGCAGAAGAAAAAAGAGTCGAAAGTGAAAAAACCGAAGCAAGGGGAGCTATATATGTGGGCTATTATTGATGGTGTCAAAGAGAAGGTAGGTCTCCCCATCACATGTATAAGAATGTTGTCCATCTTCTTGGAGTAGTCTTACATACTGTGATTGTTATATCTCTCTCTCTCTCTTTCAGGTTGGGAATTTCAGGGTCGAACCTCCTGCTTTATTCAGAGGTAGAGGAGAACATCCTAAGGTTGTTACACTTTCTTATGCTTATTTCATCAACGTATTTGCATATTGGGTTTAAGTGGCTTGAATCTGAAGGGTTTATTGTTTTTTCAGATGGGGAAACTGAAAAAGCGTATACATCCTCGTGACATCACTTTGAATCTCGGGAAAGATGCTCCTATCCCTGAATGTCCCATCCCTGGTGAAAGGTCGTATTCTTCCAATGATAGATGCAGTGGAAAACGTTATACTTATAAGTGTCTCTTGCTAACAATGATACTTATCTGAATTTTTGCAGATGGAAAGAAATAAAGCATGATAACACAGTGACCTGGATAGCTTTCTGGAATGATCCTATTAACCCAAAACACTTCAAGCATGTTTATCTAGCACCTAGCAGTTCCCTGAAAGGCCAAAGCGACAAGGAGAAGTACGAGAAAGCTAGGAAGCTTAAGGTAGTAGTCCATCAGATTTTGTATTTTGAAGTAAATCCACACGTACCTTTTCTTAGCTCTACATATTTTATTTTGTTTTGTGTTCAGGACCACATAGAAAGTATAAGAGAAACATACACCAAGAATTTTACTGCTAAGGATGTTTCAAAGCGACAGATAGCTGTGGCTACCTATCTCATCGATATGTTGGCACTTAGAGCTGGTAATGAGAAGGTAATATCCAACATTTATATTATAAGTTAACAAGAAGGATGCAGAATCTTTTCCAAAGAATCTTCTTCATCTTTTCTCCTGTTCTGTATATAGGATGATGATGAGGCGGACACTGTTGGCTGCTGTACATTAAAAGTAGGAAATGTCGAGTGTGATCCTCCAAATAAGCTAAAGGTATCAATTGTATCCCGAAAGTTAATATCATTGCATCTTCTTTTTTGGTGGAGTGTTACTTAGTCTCACAAACTTTTCCTTTTGTTTTTTCCAAAAGTTTGACTTTCTTGGTAAAGATTCAATCCAATATGTGAATACGGTAGAGGTCGAGCCTCTTGTTTACAAATCCATTGGACAGTTCCAGGCTGGTGAGTTATAGGACTTTGAGTTTGTGTTAAACAGTTAAATCGTTTTTCTTAATGATCTTTTTCCTAATAAATTGATTAACTTTTCTTTATCATCATCATCCAGGTAAATCCAAATCAGACGATCTTTTTGATGAGTTAGACACAAGCAAACTGAATGCTCATCTTAAGGAGCTTATGCCTGGTCTCACAGCTAAAGTGTTCCGTACATACAATGCATCCATCACGTTGGATCTAACGGTATATATGATCGAAACCCTCAGTTTCTTTTTTTGTTTGCTTCCAAAACATCTTAATCTGATTGTCTTGTCGTTGTCTTTTTCTTCTGTTACGATTTTGATACTGCTCTCTTTTATGTGGATGATGTGACAGTTGAGGAAAGAAACTAGAGATGGTGATGTTAACCAGAAAGTTGTTGTTTATCAGCAAGCAAACAAGCAGGTAAGGCTATTCAGTTTAGTTTCGAGTTCCCTGAAAGCAAAACAATGATGAGTGTATCCTTTACGATTCATGACACTGAATCTCGATTGTCGCAGGTAGCCATAATTTGTAATCACCAACGTACTGTCTCAAAGTGTCACGGTGCACAAGTCCAGAAATTGGCTGGAAAAATTCAAGAAGTCAAGGTAAAAATCTCCTATAATCAAAATATGAAACTTAGAAAGTTTGTTGTTCCTGATTTTTCCATTTGGATTTTAATCATTTGCCCTTGTGTTTGAATTATTTTTTACTAACAGGAGGGTCTTAAGAAACTTGAAACCAATCTCAAGAGGGCTAAAAAGGGGAACCCTCCATTGGATGGTTCAGATGGAAAGAAAACGAGAAACATAACTCCAGAAGCGTAAATATAAAAAACATTCCTTTCACTTTCACAAAAAAATATTAACAAAGATCATCTCTCTAATTAGACTGTGATTAAAATGCCAGGTGGGAGAAGAAGATAGGTCAACAGATGATGAAGGCAGAGAAAATGGAACGAGACATGCAGACAAAGGAGGACTTGAAAACCGTGGCGCTTGGCACGTCTAAGATCAACTACATGGATCCTAGGATCACGGTCGCTTGGTGCAAACGCCATGAAGTTCCCATTGAAAAGGTAACCTTCTTACAAAACTTAATACATTGATATTTACCAAAAACAAGAGACAACGAGTCCTCTAACAAAAATGAATTGCTCATTGTGTAGATATTCAACAAGTCTCTCCTGGAGAAATTTACGTGGGCAATGGACGTTGAACCCGACTTCAGATTCTAATATGCAGAAAGCCTGATAGTTCCTGAGACAGAGCAGAAAGACTCACCACGGGACAGCATAATGCTCTGCTCCAACCTGTCTTCTCTTGGAACATTTTGTTTCTCTTTTAACCGATCATTTAACAGTGTAAATTCTTGGATTTTTTTCGAATGTAAATTCTCTAAACTTTTATCATTCCTTCAATGCAATCCATTTTTCTCTTTACTAATCCAACTCAGTTATTGAATTTCTTCCCACCAATTATACTATCCATATACAAAGGAAAACACAATTGTTAGTAATTTTTTTTTATTAATTGTAAGTGCAAAAACTGAAGATTTCATCCCGTTGTGTTTTATAACATTTTCACCACTGTTTTATAGAAATGTTGCATATTCTTTTTCTGTTTGTAAAAAAGAAAGTCACATCACATGTAAACTTTGGTTTTACCTTTTTCAAGTTTGGGATGAAGAGTGTACTGTATAAAAATTGTGTCTTTTCAAAATTTATGATTACGTCTTTTCATTATAAATAGTTTCATCTTTTCGCTATAACTGGTTGCGTTTCTTCACCAACTATAATTTATATTTTTTCAAAACTATTTATATTATTCAAAACTATACAAAAAATCATTTGAATTTAACTTTTATTTTTTTACTAAAGTAGGAGTTTTTTGTCGTAAACTTATTTGTTTATCATAATATATTATCAGGATACAAAGTGTTTAAAAATCCTAGAGGTTCAGGTATTAAATTTAAATAAAAAAATTAATTTGAAAGTCCAATTTTGACTAAAATATGAGTAGTTTCATTACATAATTGTTTTACATGCATTATATCAGAAAAAATAAAATTTATTTAACCAAAATGTAATGATATTTTTATTATAAAAAATTAGATGTGTTTTGTTCACTAATATATATTATGTTATTTAATTTTTTTGTTAACAATCCAAAGAAATGCCATTTACACTTTAAAAAGTTGTGTCGTTTCAAAATTTGTGGTTGCGTCTTTTCATTATAAATAGTTGCATCTTTTCATTATAAATGATTATATTTTTTCACCACAACTGTTATTTGTGTCTTTTCAAAACTATTGATATCATTTGGGTCTAACTTTTATTTTCTTACTATGATGAGTTTTTTTTGTCGTAAACAATCTGAATAAATATCATTTTCACTTTAAAAAGTTATGTTGTTTCGAAATTTATGATTGTGTCTTTTTATTATAAATGATTGCATCTTTTCATTATAAATAGTTGTATTTTTTCATCACAACTATTATTTCATATTTGTGTCTCTTCAAAACTATTTATATTGCTCAAAACGACAGCAAAAAAATTATTTGGATCAAACTTTTACTTTTTTTTTATTATAGTGGAGATTTTAGTTTTTTTTTTATCATAAACTTATTTATATATCATATATATTATACGACACAAAGTGTCTAAAAGTCTTGGAAGTTCGAATATTGAATTTGAATAAAATATTCCATTTTGGGGTTTAATTTTGGCTAAAATATGATCAGTTTCATTAGAAAATTATTTTATATGCATTACATCAGAAAAAAAAAATTTATTCAACCAAAATATAACAATACTTTATTATAAATAATTATATGTGTTTTATTTACTAATATATATAATGATATTTATTTTTTTGTTAACAATCTGAATAAATGCCATTTGCACTTTAAAGAGTTGTGTCGTTTCAAAATTTGTGATTGCGTCTTTTCATTATAAATGGTTGCATCTTTATATTATAAATGATTACATTTTTTCATCACAATTGTTATTTTATTTCTGTCTTTCTAAAACTATTTATATTGTTCAAAACCACAGAAAAAATTATTGAGTCTAACTTTTACTTTCTTAGTATGATGGGTTTGTTATTGTCGTAAATATTTTTATTTATCATAACATATTATCAGAATACAAAATGTTTAAAAATACTTGAGGTTCAGATATTGAATTTGAGTAAAAAATATCTATTTGGAAGTCCAGTTTTAGCTAAAATATGAGCAGTTTCATCACAAGATTATTTTATATATATTACATCGGAAAAAAAAATTTCTTCAACCAAAATCTAATGATATTTTTATTAAATTATATGTATTTTGTTTACTAATATATATTATGTTAATTTTTTTTGTTTATGAAAAACATCTATATATTTTTATAGTTAATTGTGTTATTTTAAAATTTTAATATTTTTGTTAGTTATTTATAAATTAAAGGAACCTAATCTTTGAATTCTTTTTTGTAATTTCAGAGAAATATACTTATGTAATGTAATAAATTCACATATATTTTATATAAATTTTTTAAAGTATCAAAGTTTTTATATATATTTTAACTAATATATTTGTAATGTACTTTTTAATATTGTGAATCCTTTTTAGAAACTATAGTAGTTTTAGAAAAATGTATTATAAAATCTTGTTACATCATTTTTATTATATATATTTCCTGTATTATTTTTATAAAGTATCAAATTTCTTTCATAATTCTTTATTAATAACTTTTCAATAGTAAATGTTTAGTTATATAAACCTTTTTTTTAAATATTGATTCTATATTTATTTTTAACTTTATACCTTTGCGCGAATACAATTTTTTAATAATTATACATATAGAAGATTACATATTTATATCATATATGTATATTGTATATTTTTTATATAACTTTTTTAACTCTTTAAAAAAGTTGTGTACCTTATAATTTTTTATTTTTTTCTAATAATAATTAGTAATAACAATTCTAAAAAAATTGTAAAAATTTACGTATTCTTATCATAATTAATTTGTGTAAATCCATTTAGAATTTACTGTTAAAAATTCAAAAAAAACACATAAAATATACTTTTTTCTTTTAATAGTTATAAGTTGTTTTCGATGTTTCTAATTTTTTATTATTATTTCTATTTTATATATTTTTATTTATAATTATTATTTCAATTAATTTTTTGTTTAATTTTTAATAGACCGCAGATTAACCTCGCGAAGTAAAATCTAACACGATTAATAACACCCTTTAGATATATTTTACCATTTTTTAAGAAGTTTCTATATAAACAGTTGTATTTGTTTGAATTTAATTGATATGTATGGAAAATTATAACCTAACAAGATTAACACCGCTCGAATTCGAAAGTTACCCGTGGTATTATCCCGGTATGGATTATTTTCGGTTTTGCTTTATTTTCGGTTTGGATTTAACGTATATGTAGTCGAAACGACGTCATTTCATGATGTTAAGTTGGGGAGCCTCGTCTCCTTTTATCGCTCTCCGTAATGATTTTTCTGTGAATTTCGTTTGAATTTTGCCTAAAGAGAGAGAGAGAAATGAGTTTCGCAGCTGTAGCTTGCTTCGCGCCAAGATCTTCCATGCTCTTCACCGGCTTAAATTCGGGCTACTCCGATGTGTATCGCACTTCACTTTCGGCTTTCCCGGCGAGTATATCATCCTGGAGCGTGAAACCTCCGGTATGCCTTGCTGCTGTTTCGTCTGATGCCGTACCCGACCCTGAATCCGACCTCAAACCCAAAAATCAATCTCGAACCCGTCGCCAGAAGAAGGAAGCGACGGGGATCGGTGAAGCAGAGAGCGATAAGTTTCCGACGAAGGTCCCGCGTAAATCAAAGCGCGGGCGGAGGAGCGAGGCGGACGCTGTTGAGGCTTTCGTGAGAAGCTCCCTCGAGCGCACCTTCTCCACCATACGAGAGCAGAATCCGGAGGTTTTCGAGAACAAGGGGAAGGCGGATTTCAGATTGGCCACTAGATACGGATGTTGGATGGGGAATCAAAGCTTCGGAGTACTTCGATACACATCCAATCAAAAACGTAGTCGGAGAAGACGGGACTGAGATCGATTGGGAAGGCGAGGTTGATGACAGTTGGGTCAAAGAGATCAACTGTTTGGAGTGGGAAAGCTTTGCCTTTCATCCCAGCCCGCTCGTCGTCCTCGTGTCCGAGCGATACAAAAGGTAAAAGCTTTTGTTATTTCGTTGAAGAATTTTCACAAACACCTTGTGTGCATTGGAGAAAACAATTCAAACTGTGAAAAGCTTTGTCGTTTTTTCCTTTTCAATGTCATTGCACATGAAACGAACCATTAAAATTAGATTCCATGATCATCAAACTGCAATGGAGACACAAAACATGTCTTTTAAGGAATCATACATTTCAAAACGTTGTTCAAAGTTCTCACCAACTATGTAGCTTGTTTGTTCGAATAGTTAAGAGTAATTACTTGAATTGCTTGGCATTTACAGGGCTAGTGATAACTGGAAGACATTGAAGGAGCTTGAGAAAGCGATCAAAGTCTATTGGGAAGCGAAAGATCGATTACCTCCACGGGTATGACAGAAGCCATTGTGTAGTTTGCAGTTTTGCACATTACATTGGTCTCATTGTCTCTCTACATGTTGTTGATATAATGTGTCTTTTCGACTGTTAACAAGGATCACTATGTTTTGATGCAACAGGCGGTTAAGATTGACCTGAACATCGAGACAGATTTGGCATATGCTCTCAAAGCTAAGGAATGCCCACAACTTCTGTTTTTACGGGGAAACAGGATTCTATACAGGGAGAAAGGTGATAGGAGATGTGTTGATAAATACTCTTTTCCTCCTTTTTTTTCTTTGCAATATATATATGAGCAATGGATCATCATCACAGAGTGTTGAACTTGATGCAGACTTTCGTACGGCGGATGAATTGGTCCAGATGATTGCGCATTTCTACTATAAAGCAAAGAGACCTTCGTGGGTAGACAAGGCTAAGGTAACCCCGTATTGTTAGTTTGTCAATGGGAACGAGTAGTGAACTCAAAGGTCAGTGTCGGAAAAAGGATGTTGAGATTCTAGCATGTGCTATGCTCGGAAGAAGAGATAAAAAAAAGAGATCAAACAGGAGTTATTCAACCTATTATTTCAACTTCATGTTGTAACGTTTTGAAATCGAGAGAGAAGAGGCTTATGAAAATAGCTGGTGATGAGTTAAAGTTTGGATTTTGGGATTAACAAATCACAGATTTTGATGAACTTGTTGTTAGTTGTTACCGAAGTTCTCTGTTTCTAGATGCGGTTATAATCATCAAAAGTTTTGAACATGTTTGATTGTAATATAATAAAATTGTTGTATGTGTTTTATGCGATATTCAATTCCCAAGTAATGATCACTTGTGTGAATGATTTGAAACCGATGGTGTTTGTTTGAAGAT